AAATCATTATATTTCAAATCATTATCACACACACACACACACACATTTGTACATAGAATTACTTGCCTGAGGCAGCTATTTTTTTAAAAGTGGTAAAATTTAGTTAAAATTACATTTTTAGATCCAAATGATTAGATGAGAATAAAAAAAAATTCAATTAATCACACAATATATCATTTTTTTTAAATTACTTTTTAACTACACTGGGGTACTATTATAAACTTTATTTTAGCCATATTTTGGAATAATCTTTATTTTTCTTTATGCCTTAGTTATTCTTAGGAGATTCACAATTCCACAATTCACTATTTTTCAGGAAAACGTATTTTACAAGAAACTTTTGGAATGGAACTTGTTTTTCTCCATTACTACATTAGGGATTCCAGGTGATGTGTTTTTAAGAAAGTTTACCACATCGGTTGCTATTGATGTCATTTATAAAAAAGGTGTAAATACCTTTTGTACAATGCCAACGAGAGGGTAGCATTGTTTTGCTAACTACAGTTGAACAAATGAAACAGTTTTTAATTTGATTCCACATAATTGGAAGTTATTTATTATCCCTTAGAAATTACTTTGCGTATAGTCTTACATGGACACCGTAGAGTGTATAAGATTGGGAAATATAATTGCGAAATTTAGCAATGTATTGATTATTGTTAGGAAAATTCCTAACTGAACATCGAGAGGCAGCAAACATCGTCGTCCGAAGTTGATTGGGGTGAGTGTGATATCATAGAAGAAAATATATATATATATATATATATATATATATATATATATATATATATATATAAATTCTTTAGGCACTTTTTGCACTTTTTTGTGAGAGTGAATTAGATTTAGTCAGCAGATTTCCGATTTGTAACGTTCTGGTAAAGTCGGCTGGAGTTGACTGATTGAAGTGTTTTTGCATCTGGATTCAAATAACTCAGAAACTAAAATCGGGTCTGCATTTCATCCTCTTTATAATGAGCTATTATTCAAAATTGTACATTGTCGAGACGCATTATTACAGCGGGAAAAATATAGTGTCAAGAGCCAAATCAGAACGAATTTCATACTAAATATTGCCATATTAAATATGAGGAATCATACTAAAATAATGAAAATATATGATAATCACATATTTTAGTTATCATAAACCTATTGTTTCATTTTTAGAGTGTGGCAATGACTAAATATGATCAGTCGGAGTTTCCTAAAGTAATTTAAACACAATTATAATTGTATATATCGTAAATGTTATTACTTTTTGAATACAGAACAAAAAAATTTTTGTTTTATTCTTCCCTACCTCGCCTTTTAGGCTATACGGGATTTTCCCGGGCCGGGGGGTGAGGGCGGGGAATTTAAAATCCCCTCCGGCACCGGGACGCGAACTCGTACTTTTTATATCATCTCAAATCTCTGTTATCCGGTTGCCAGGCAACTAGCGGTGCTGTTACACACGCTTTAGCCTATTCGGCCACCCCGCCCCCAACAAAAAAAATATTTATATTTCATATTATTAAGTCCGCCTTATTGCTGTTTTCACTTATATCGGATGGTCTTAATCATACACCGTAGATTTTTTTTTCTCCCCTCCCTCGCATTTTAGGCCATACAGGGGTTTTCCCAGGCCAGGGGTGAGGGCAGGGAATTAATGCCAGAGTTAAAAGACCCTCCGTCACCGGGACGCGAACTCTTAATTATTTTGTTGTCTGTATCTTGGTTATCAGGTTGCCGGGCAACGCGCAGTGCTGTGCACAAACGTTAGCCCGCTCGCCCCTTTATACAAACTCATTTGTGTCAAAATTTCGGCCTAAGTTGCAAGCGATCAGTGTTCTAGATAGCATATTATCAGCCCAGGCTATTTAATATTCCCCATCCTAACACATGCATTTATGGTATAATGGACTTGTGCATTTAGCTACCTATGGACATGTGCTACATCTTTATGTCCTTTGCAGCGTATCCGTAAATGTATACGGTGCATGACACTTGCAATAATACAGTTAAAAAGGCATTATAACAGAAATGCGGGATGCTCCATTTCCAAGAAGACACACCCCTAAAAAAAGCCACCTCGATTGAGGGCGTGAATGAAGAAATGATGTAGAAAATGAGGTCTAGCAGATGTTCCACAAGGCAGGTGTTCCAGTCAGTAGATCCGTCCGACGTTCACAGCACAACCCCCGACCTATCCTTGTTGTCAAAGCTATTGTACTTACATAAACATAATATAATAATATATATATTTATTTAAAAAAAAAAAGTCATCAAATTTCAACATTTATTCCGTCAATGACTACTTCATCATAAACTCCCATAACACTATAAAGGCATCTAAAACAACGTATTCCAACAGTCAGCAAGTTTTCTTTACATGAATTTTATTTTTATACGATTTATTGTCTTCATGTACGTTTGTCAGATGAAACGTTGTGTCATTTAGTATTACTTCTAAATTAAAAAAAAAAATGTAATAAAAAAATTTCAAAAATTATTTTATTTACTTATATATATATATATATATATATATATATATATATATATACACAACACAATAAGTCATAATAATGGTTACATGCTTATGGCTACATAACCTTACACATGTTATAATAAAGTGGTATGATTGCTATTTTGTATGCTTAAATCTATTTTTGTACAGTAGGAAAAATCCAATAAAAACCTAGATGAATTAAAAAATGAATAAATGACATAAAAAACTATATACTGTCTTTAAAGTGTAGCAATGTAATCATCGCTTCTTTCAATGTCCCTTAACTGTTGTATATTGTTCGTACAACAAATAATTATGAATACAATATTATTTTTAATTTTTTGATATTATATTTACATAAAAAGCCTTCAGAATCCAATTTCTTACTTTGATAGATATACAAGCGTGTTTCATGTGATAATATTCCTATGTACACATTTACTTGATGTATTCATACACCACTGTATTCTATATTCTCTGTATTCACTAATACAGTTGTAAATATCAAAATTAAAATTTAAAAAAAATATATATATATTTTTCTTATATATAGTTTCATTATTCAATGATTTGTGAATATTTTAGTTATTTCAACGGTTAATTGTGTATAATTCCACTTTATATCGATCGTCCATTTTATTGACTTTATAATGAAAATAAAATTAGATTTTTTTTTTTAGTAATGGTGTAAATAATATAATTAACGATAGCTGTTACAACTTTAAGATTTTTATTTTGTTTTTTTAGTAAAAATTGTATGTTTGTTTTACATACTTAAAATTATTCTTCATAAATATAAAAAAAAAGTAACATTAACATAATCTTATGTGTCTTAAACCGAAGAATGAATAGAATGTACATTGTTTGACCTGTAAAAAAGTATCACCAAGTACACAGGAAACGTCGTACCCTATTAATCAGAGCTGAATTAATTTATTAAAAATACATACAATTTATTATGATTAATTTTCCGGAAGAATTATATAAACAGCATAACGTTTCATAAAAAAATATTTAGCTTGATTTTTACATAAATTGTCAACCTTTTATTATTCAAATTGTACATTTATCAATGATAATGGCTATGTGTCCTGTTACGCGCTCTGATTTCGTTTTTATTAAAGCTCTTAAAAAAATAAAATAAATACACCTTTACGTTACAAGTTCGTATTATTTAAAATAATAGCAATGAAAGTATTTTAATTTAGCATTGAAAAATTATTTGATCAAAAAACATCTATATGAAATTTGCTCAGTACACGTTAGACGAAACGGTAACAGAATAAAAAAAATAGCATTTAATCTATTCATGCAACCGAATTCTTGAAAATGTGCTAAATAGTATTTATAATTATATAATACATTTAATAACATAATGATTAAGTAAGAAGAATTATGTAATAAACTAATAAATGTATACACTAGCGGATCGAGGATTTAATTTTGGGGGAGGCTCAGCCCGAAAGTTTTTTTTTCATAAAAATAACGATAATTACTTTGGAAAAACAGAAAGAAACTAACTACCTATATGAAACGCTGTTTAAGTGATTCCTTAAGTCCTTTTAAATGTAATTGCACGAACAATAATACTCTAAGAGGTATTTTAAAAAAATATTTTTCCATAAAACATGATTATATTTTACCATTTTGGGGGAGGCTTCAGCACGAAAGCCCCCCTCCCCTCCGTAGATCCATCCGTGAATGTATAAAATGACAGGGAATTAAATTGTCTTTGCCAAACAAAATAAAATAAATAAATAAAATGTTACTTCAGTGTGTTGAGAATAGTTTTTTAAAAATATTTTTGTTTGTTTATTTTTTTTAATGAATCAGACATAACATAAATATTACAAAAACTAACAATAATGAAAGATGTATTAAAAGAAACTTTAATATCCTTGAAATAATTTAACCAAAAAAAACTTTGTTTATACTGCTATTTCTATTGGTATTTTAATTTCATTGTGTAAAAAAAAAACTTTAATTATTGATTAAGATATATAAATAATGAATTATTGGGTTATAATTTAAAAATTCCATGTACAAAGCTGCGAGTCTCTAAAATACTGGAAAAATAAATACCTGTCAACTTTTCGTAAATTCAGGCATCATCATGAAAGATAAAAGTAAGATAACTTAAATGCAGACCATTATAGCATATCACAGACCCAAAAAAAAAAGTACATCATTCCAAGACTAACAAGTTCATACTGCGAATGTATGATGAACAAACTTTTAGATAAATTAAGATGTTAACTACGAACGATTATGTTATGGTAAAAAATGGGAATTGGTGATAAATATTTATTCTAAAAATGAAAAGTAACTTGACATTTTCAAATAAACTAAAAAAAAAAAGTAGTGTCGTATTACTCGTAGAACCATTAGAGTCGTCATGAACGAAACCCGAGCAGTACAATCTAAGAAAGACTGTACTTCTTCGTCAGACCTAAGATTAAAGTATGTTGAAATTTAAGAGTTCTGTTGAAATTAATTATTAAAATTATATATTTACCTTGTGAAAGATAATGGTTGCCTATCCACAAATCACATATTGATACGTCTGCACAGATGGTGATGTGAAGAAGTTCTGTCCAGCTGGGACGAGAACGAACCGCTAAGACAAAGTACACTGAACCCCCCTACGCGATGGCTTGAGGAATTCCCGACCGAAAACGAACATTACCGAACAGAGCCGAACTACAAATGGTACCGACCCGAGTTGTCAGAGAGCTGTATCGTTTTCAACCGGACTTGGTCTTATTGGCCTTTAAGAAATTTTCAATGCGCTCGGAAAAAAATACTTTGGTGAGAGAGTAACATAAAATATGTCTTATTCATACATAACACAATCTTCCAGACGTACAAGCAATGATTACTAGCTCTATCAATATCTCATGTACCATATAACAGATAAAACAAAAAGTTAACGAAGGTTCAAACTTGTTATAAACTTAATTGTGGGTTAATGGTTGACTGTCGTGAGTAATGAAGAGAAGGATGTTTGGGGAGATAATAGTAATAATAATAATATTTATTTTAGCATTTGCCGACGTTTCGACTTGAAGTTCAGGCCTTCATCAGGGCTAAGAAAAGAACCAGGTAACAAGGTATAATAAGAAACAGAAATAATGTAGGTAAAAAAAATTTAAGTAAAAAGAAGTGGGTGGAATAATGACAATAGTAAGAACTAAGAGATAAATAATAATAACCGTTACGTTAAGTGTGGGATGATGAAGTAAACATAAACAAAACAGGTGACATAAGTATTAAAATAGTATTTTATTATTTAAACTACTAAAATAGTAATTTTAGTATTTTAATAGTATTTTATTCTAGATTACCATTTTAATACTTATGTCAACTTTTTTGGCTATGTTTACTTCATCATTCGATTGTATTATGATAAATAAAAAGGCCAAATGGGTCACTAAATGTTCAGTATTTATTTTATTTATTGACAACGTTTGTTTCGGCCAACTAGAGACAAGTGTTAAAAATATCATTTCGCACAGCTTTCCTTTGACAAAAAAAATTAATTTGGCAACCGAATATATATATACTATCAGAAGTGTTTGAAAATCATGGAGAAACAATGATCAGAAAAAGATCATTGATGAGTAATTGTGCTTTTATTTTTCACATCCAAATCTTCATGATTGAAAGTTTCAATAATATTAAACTTTTGATTGAATTTATTATCTTATTATGAGATTATGTATTATCTTACTAATTTTACATTTTGACCTTTGTATGTTCTTGTTCTTGATACATTTACCGGGAGAAAATTATGTGATTTCGTTAAAATATTGCACTAAATTAAATTATCATTTGTTTAAATATTATGTTTATAACGAAGAGAACGGTGGTTGGGGTGATCATTCAGAAATAAGAAGGCAAAAATAAATAATAATATTCATTGTAACATTAGCCGACGTTTCGTATCTTTGTAACGGTTATTATTATTTATCTCTTAGTTCTTACTATTATCATTATTCTACCCACTTCATTTTACTTTAATTTTTTTTGCCTTCATTATTTATTTTTCTCTTATCTTGTTATTTGGTTCTTTTCTTAGCCCTGATGAAGGCCTGAACTTCAGGTCGAAACGTCGGCAAATGTTAAAATAAATATTATTATTTATTTTTGCCTTCTCATTTCTGACTGATCAACCCAACCGCCATTCTCTTCGTTATAAACATAATACTTAAACAAATGATTACTTAATTTAGTGCAATATTTTAACGAAATCACATAATTTTCACCCGGTAAATGTATCAAGAACAAGAACATACAAAGATCAAAATGTAAAATTAGTAAGATATATATAATAAGATTCAATCAAAAGTTTAACATTATTGAAACTTTCAATCATGAAGATTTGGATGTGAAAAATAAAAGCACAATTACTCATCAATGATCTTTTTCTGATCATTGTTTCTCCATGATTTTTAAACACTTCTGATAGTATATATATATTCGGTTGCCAAATTAATTTTTCCGTCAAAGGAAAGCTGTGCGAAATGATATTTTTAACACTTGTCTCTAGTTGGCCGAAACAAACGTCGTCAATAAATAAAATAAATACATAACATTTAGTGACCCATTTTGCCTTTTATTTATCATAATACAATCGAGGCAGCGAAATTATGAATTATGACAAAGGAGATTTAAGTATAACGGGGTGCAGTGTAGGGATATATTTATAAAACGATTGTTGGTGATATATTAGCTAGGATAATCCTCAAAATCATGGTAAAAGAAGTAATAATAATTTAAATAAGGAAATGGCCCGGCGTGGCGGTCATAAATAGACTAAATATTGGCAAAACTATTATTAAAAGCCAAGTTTCAATCCGACTTTGCAGGTCTTCTTCAGGGCTAGAACGGACAAGATACAAAAAGACTTAGAGAATTGTGGAAGTTACATCATATTTAGATATAAAATTATAAACAATGTGAATACATTTATTAAAATTATAAATTCCGACTGCTCCAACACTTACTAGACAAACGCTCTAAACTTTCAATTAATTGCAAAAGACTTATCTACATAAGTATAATATGACCTATATGGACATAAGGATTTGGGGCTCCACCAAACCATCGAATTCCTATCGTATCCAATCCTTACAATCCAAAATCCTCCGTAAAATCCTTAATGCTCCATACTTTGTCACAAATAAAACCATTCATAAAGACCTTAATGTACCAAATGTCACTGATTTAGCTCGAGCCAGATATCTATCCTTTCATGATAAACTTCAGTCCCATCCAAATCCGCTTGTTTCAACTCTTGCTTCTTCCTCAATCCCTGATAATCCTCCAAGGCGTCTGAAAAGGAGTTGGCCTCGTGATCTTCTTACTTAAAATTATGTAGGGAGTGCTACCACTGGGTAGTATCTCTTCAAGCCTGTACATGTCATTATTTATAATTTGCGCATATTTACTAGTTCTATTTGTATACAGCTATAAATTTCATTAAATAAACAAAAACAAAAATAATTGTAAAGAGTAAGTACATTAAAATATTAAGAAAAATAAGTTGTATAAACAGAGTAAGCTATGTAACAAGATCCTAAACTGAAGTAAATACATGGTAACAATTGTTGTATTATGAATATACTACTACCGATCTACAGGAGATATTGGAAGGAAAGGAAAAATGATATAATATGAAATAATGGACAAATAGGAATGTGGAGAAAGAGAAGACAAAAGAAGAAGAAAAATAAAAAATAAGTATATAAAATTAGTAGAATAAAAATAGAGACTTACAGGTGTACTTAGCAACGAGTTCCACTTAGAACTGGAAAACCAGGACAAGGGTAAGTATTGGGGGTAATGGTGAGGGGGTGAGTAGTAAAAGTAAAAAAAAAAAATGGAAAATTACAGTATCTAAAATTTGAAGATATGGATGGATACAAGGGAAAATACTATATTTGAAACAATAAATTATAAATATATTCTTATACATATGAAATAGAATTAAGAAATTATAGATAGGAGTACAATGTAAATAAAAACAAAAAGGAAAGAAGTAAAACGTACATAGAAGTAAAATATAAATATAGAAATAATTTTGTACATTCCTAGAATTAATCTAGCAGTATAGAGATGAAACAAATATGAATAATTATAATTATACTTAGTTGTACATAGGTAAGAAAATTACATTTAAATATTAGATAATATTGAGACATGATGGTTAAAAAGTAAAATGAATACAAAGTAAAAACGGATGACCCTACATTGATGTAGGATGTAAACATTTTTTTATTTATTTACTTATTTATATGATATTTACAACTGTATACAAAAAATACATCTGGTAAATTCGCACATGGATATAATGACATAAAACACATGTTGAGAAACTACAATTGGTAGCACTCTAATAATATGTCTATTTTAGAAGATCACGTGGCCATCTTCTTTTCAGACGCCTCGGAGGGTTATCAGGAATCGAATAGGAAGCAAGGTTAGAGACAAGAGGGTCGGAATGGTTATGAAGTTTATTATGGAAGGACAGATATCTATTATTATGGAAGGACAGATATCTAGATTGGGCCAAATCTGATACATAAGGAACATTAAGGTCATTATGGATAATTTTATTTGTAACAAAGTAAGGAGCATTGAGGATTTTACGAAGGATTTTGGATTGTAAGGATTGGATGCGAGAGGAATTTGAAGGTTTGGTGGAGCCCCATGGCTCAACTCCGTAAGTCCAAATAGGCCTTATTATAGTCATGTAAATGAGTCTTTTATAATTGATTGGAAGGTTAGAGCGTTTGTCTAGTAAGTGTTGAAGTAGTCGGAAACGTCGAGCTGTTTCTTGTCGTTTCAGTCTGGTATGAGGATTCCAAGTTAGACGTTTGTCCAGATGGAGTCCTAGGTAACGGATTTGTTCAACAGGAATAAGTGAGGTGTTGTTAAAGGATACTGAAGGACAAGAAGTCATTGGTTTACGGGATGTAAATATAAAATTAAAATAAAAGAGAGATCATACAAAGCGGAAGTACTTAAAATAATTTTTAATAATAATTTACTTTAAATTTATTGTTAATTTTGTTTGTTATAATTTTTATCTCAATCAAAATGCATAATCTTCTTTATTTATTAACCAACAGTTATAAGTACCGCTTCTGTTCTTCATCTTTGTATGAAGTTCCTTATACTCTTCCATCAATGCAACTCTACGTTCAACAACGTCATTTAAAACTATAAGTAAACTTGTAATCGACTTGATATTCTTGCAAGATTCACTTTATTTCCAGCTTCAAGATGTTACTGAAAACAAAATCATGGTGGTATTTTTTTTTAAAATGGCATCCGGATCAATCAGTGGTTCTTTGTCTTCGTTTTTCAAAATATCCAGCATTTCTTGATTTCATCAGAAATGTCTTTATCAATAAATGCAAGCACCACAAGTTCCTCTTAAACATTCTACACACTTTGGTGGAACTTTTCCATTGCACGTTATGAAAATCTTCACTTCAATACTTTCGTATTCTTTGAACTTTTCAATAATTGCGAGTCATTCCTGGGGGCATTACATGCAGTTGTCGCTTGAAACTAACTGATAATGTAAGCTCAGTGCCTGCCTAGGGAATGA